TTTTTACTTTTAAATCTTAAAATGCATGAAATTTTTATGTTTTGCATGATTAGGGCATCGTACTTTTGGAGGCAAAGCATCTGAAGTACAAATCAAGTGTAATAGTTGCAGCCGGCGATTTTCGTCAGCTACGCTATTAACTATTATTACCAAAAGATTTACTGCAAAAGTGTTCATAGTGGCTATATGAATATAATGAAAAAAAAAAAATTAATTTCAGAATATATAATTATAACAAACGTGGTTTTTTATCATAAAATTAACAAAAAAAAGAGCATACAACCACAGCACAAGTTGTTTTTTGTAATATTTAAAATGTTTATTTGTCTGTTGTAAAGAAAAATCTCTTTCTAAAGAAAAACTTAAAAACAATTCTAAAGAATGATTTAAACTTTTGACGCACATATAAATAGCCAACACATATTAATATATGGACAAATAATAATATACAATGTCAGGATGAGTTTCCATCTACGTGAAGAAATTGCTTAAGACTCATTTTGTCTGTAAAACAAATAACGAATTGTAAATCTTTATTAAATCGACTAAAAAATATTAATGATACTATAATTATTTTAAATTAAATCTGGCAATTCTCGTTCTACATAATTTGCACTATAACATTTGGCTCCACGCAACCATGTTTTATGATGTACTCGTACAAGAGGAAAGAAAGAGTTTATTGATAATTATATTTATGACCATTGAATTTTAAATTTTATTAAATTTATGTAAATACTGCGTTTTTATTGATATTTACTAAAAATGATCGTTTAAATCATTTATAAACTTTATAACTTTACATATTAAATATCACAAAAAACAACTTGTGCTGTGGTTGTATGTTCTTTTTTTTGTTAATTTTATAATTAATTTCAGGTTTTTAATAAGTTTTTAATAAGTTTTATATAAATTGCTTTATGTTTTTTTTTCTGTCAGTAGTTTTCATAGCTTGAAATCATTTTTTCCTAATTCTTACTCTATTTCTATTTTGCAAAGTTATTCGTAGATCGTGCTTTCATGTACTCATTAATATTCTTGACTTTAAATATATTATATATTGTTTTAATTCTCAAATATAAAAAAAGGATCGATTAAAGAGATATACAGAACAAGTTAATGTGATCGGCAAACTGTGTAAATAGTAGGGTAGGAGAAACAGATGTATTCCAGCCCGATTCACAAAATCGGGTAAATGATAATGATCCGTCCTGTTTATATATACATACTTACGTATAAAGAGATTTTTATGCCGTCCTTTGATAATTAGTGCCTCAAGAATCATACAATTACGTGTATAAATATGTATCTGTTTTGAGACAAACATCAAAGATCTATTTTAATAACATAGCACATAAATATGTATATTACAAGATATATATATATATATATATA